TTCCAATATTTCAAAAAGAGTCATCCTCAACACAATTTACTCACAGCTGCTTAGAATTAAAAGAATCTGCAATACAACAAAACACCTTCAAGACGAAGTACTATACTTCGTCACAATATTTAAAAATAACCTTATTCCTCAAAAAGTAATTAAAAATACGTTAAAAAAAGCTGGCATTAACCTTACCATTTTTTAGATTTTTTTGAATTAGATAATGAAATTTTATTCTTAAAGCCCTATGGGACGGTATAAAGTGGATGGCTAATTCTGAAGATCTAATGTATAAATGTACAAATATTGCCTGTCACTACGTCTATTTTTCCTCTTAAAATTTGGCACAATACTTTTAATTCTATTTTTAAATAGATTTTAAACATTTGCCGACCAATTCTATTCTGTTATTAACTTACGGGCTATTTCGTTTCTGGCAGCTTGAACGCCCTCTAGCTTGATGAATTACGACTTTAATTAACAAATTAATATTTTTTCATTATTTCCGCTTACTTTAGAGGCCGTTTTAGGTATTATTTTGTTGAATTAGCCACTTTCTCTTTTACCCAGTCCAATTTTCTTCAAACTACTAAGACAAGACGCCATTTTGAACTTTTTCCGCATTTTTCAACACATTTTACCCCCCTTTGCAATGAGTCAGGTTTTTTGCCAACGGTCAGTCACTTTACATTGGCTATTTCCCAGTGACGTTTCCCCCTTTCTACGTCATCCGGCGAGTTGGAGAGCGTGGTAAAGCGCGGGGTTTGCCCACCCTTTCGAGTTTTCTCGTTGACCAAGGAAAACGGCAATGGCACAGGTCTGTTTTAATAATTTTTTTCTCTAAAAGATTTTTTCTAGGTCTTGGCAAGACCCTTGCTACATTTCGTCTATTATATTATCTTTTCCGTTTTGATTTAAATATAATTTACGGTACTTTTACAAAGTATTAACTCTTTAAGCTCGCACGTCCACCCATAAGATCTTGCATATTTTGACTAATACATAATCGCTATTTATTATTTTTTTCTGTACATCGGCATTTCCTTTCCATTATTTAATTATTACCTTTTTACACCTTTATGTGTTAATGTAAGCGGACGCGTCGGGAAGTTGGAAAAGAGAATTGAGACTAAAGTTTTTGACATAATTTATTTAATTCATTGAAAAATGTGTCGCGTATGGTTTCAATTGTCTGTTTCGGCGAAACGCTTGATGGAATTAGCTTAGTTCGAAATTTATTGAAAAAATTTCCCCTGACGTGCCAAAATGAACTTCAAAATTGGGCTAATCACCCGTTTACCGCTTCTTAATTTTTATTTTATTTTTATTTTTACTTCGTTCAATTGATTAGCTCTTTTACTATATTTTCAATATACTTAATTAGTTTAACATATAGCTTGCTATTTTTGTTAATTTTTACTTGTAAATATTCAAATGTTGTATATTTCTCTTTTAACACAATTTGCAACTAAATTTGCTTATGTTGAAGTTTTCGCGGAGCCACAGTTTCTTAGCAACTTTTTAGCGTGCGTACTAAAATTTATCTTCTAATTTCCTTAATTTTGCAGCACAATGCGCAAAATTTTTGACCACATAGGTCTTTTATCGTTTGTTTTTTCTACTTTACTTTAAATTATATATATATATACTTTTGGTGCGGCCGATTGCAACCAAAATACGAGGTGCACATCTACATGTTATATCAGTCCTATATACAAAATTTCAACGTTCTGAGGCTACTTGTTTTTGAATTATGCGAGATACATACATGCGCACAGACGCCACGAAAAATTCTCTTCAGAATTCATTTTAAATTAGTTTTACATTTTTTTGGCGAGGAAAGAGTCCTTTATCCTGTCCTTAGGTACAGATGTCAAGCAAAAACATCGTTAAATTGCATTCGATAGCGGTAAAAATGGATATTTGCGTTGAAATATAATGCCTAAAACTTTTTGCGATTACAATACTTCCGTTTTACTTCGCACAAGGAAGAAGAAAAGATTTGAAGGAAGATAAATTATCAAAGGTGTAAAGCACTTTAGTAGCATTTGCTTTTATACAACTCCATCTACTCGCCTAAAAATACAGATCTTCTTTTCAATAAATTTTGCCCATCTCTTCAATTAACTATTTAATTTTGAAGATAAATTGCATGCATAAACTAAACATGAAAGCACAGTTTCCCCATAGATGCAGTTCCAAGTATGTTTCATAATTCGAACCGAACTAAATATACGTAGGGAAGAGTTCTCTTAAACAACCCATTTATGAAACACACAGATTCCTTAAAAGCAGGTGTCCCATAATTTTTACGTAAACCAATAATTTTAACTACTGAAGTTAAACATGTAGAAAGTAGATGTGCAATATTTTTTAAAAATTCGTGCTTAGAGCTCAGCACATTCTGTGCTAAATTTTTTGCGGCGAAACGATTTGTTGATACGTACCGCCACACTACTTAAAAGGCACAATATGGCTTGTTCCACGTATTTAAGCCTCCGTATTAGGCGGAAGGCGGGAATCACACAAAAAGTCACCTTGGAGAGCTTAAAGACATTCACTTGCTGCCGACCAGTCACAAAATTAGCGGAAAGACAAACTTTAAAAATTTCCTCTTGCTGAACTGCTCAATCGGGGTCATAACTTCCAGCGCCCAAAGATTGCGGCGATAAAACAAACAATCATTCAAAAACATTTTCCTTTACTACTTTCTTATTATACAGTGATAATTAAAGCGCGTATCGCAATTAAAATGATTCAAGGAAAGAGCCATAATTGGCCAAATTCCCTCATAATTACATTACGACGGCTTATTCCCGACATAATGCTGCTAAAATATGGATATTTCAAGGGTCCACTTAATTTGCTCTACTTTGTACAGAAGATATTACCTTGTAGAGAAAAACAAATGCATAAAATATACTTCTATTAATCATAACTGATTTTGTAACCCCTTACACTGACCATTTTCAATGTGGAAATTACTCGAGGCATGGTTTAAAAGCACTTCCGTTGACAGTTTTAATTTCTGAAAAATTGTCTGCAAGCAATTTTTCAGAAATTAATGACCCGTTTACCAGCTGTTATTATTTAAGGGCAGTGAAGGAGTGACTCATTAGCTGCGCATATTACACGCACTCAATCATACGATGGATAAAACTCGATACTTTTCGAGTTACAAGAATAGTGAATATGATAAACTCGTCTTTCCTGCTAATATTGATCTCAGGGAAACAAATGCTGTTGTCAAAATGCTTGGCAGCAGCAGTCCAACCTGTTATGAATAAGAAGCCTTTAAAACCATAAATTAAATAAGTTGAAACATTTTAGCATTTAGTTGAAACAATAGTTCACAAATTAGTTTTATGTATGTCACTCGTAGTATTTGTGTGACAAGTAATTAAGAAATACATATCAACGGTCTTTCTACACAGTTTTTATTTATTTAATTACATTTCAGAATTTTTTATTTTTTATTTTTTTTCCTCAAGTCTTTCAACTTGACGGCCTACTAGCGGCCGAGCGTTAAAGTAGCTGAACAGTCGTGGTAGTCCCGCGACGAACACACCGTATCCCGCATACGGGCTGGCTGCATGGACGTGTTCGTGGTTTTTCCCCAAATATGAGCCAGTTTACCTTAGAACGTCCTCCACGAAGGCATCCCGTGCCTTAGGCAGATAACCCTTCAGTGCTTTGCCATAATCAACTAAACCAAACCTTTCAATACGGGTTGGGATAAGTCTAACGTTTAGAAATAGTTGCATAAAAGCATATTCATCGGCAGCTCTGATCACGTGTTTAATTCGTTCAATCTGCGCAAAACATTCAGCGTTAAAAGCCATATGTTCAGAGTTTATTTTCGCAGAATCATTTTTAATTTGGTCATACCGATAGTGGTTTAAACACCTAAAAGATGAACAGCTCAAACCGTTTACGTAGAGAACAATCCTGTGGAAACGGCCACTGCCGTAGCCGTATGGACCAAGAACGAAACAAATATTAGAAAAAACTGCTGTGCAAATACAATGTTAATTATAGTGAAAATCCACGAATCACACCAGCCTGAAAAATTGCACTATTTTAACGTTGATTATTAACGACAGCAGGCAATTTGCATATTATCTATTTCTTTGTACAGAAATTCTTTGCATATTATCTATTTCTTGGTTATACAAAAGGATAAGTTATGTTACAAATAGTGTAAAGAATATTTCACCTAACAGAATTAATTCCTAATCGCATATTTCGTATTTCTTGCAGCAACCAAGGGAAGAAAAATACCAATATGCTCAAACAGTTTTCTTTCTATTTTTGGGGGGGGGAGAAGGGAGGGCGTTAAAAGAAACTAGGTGCTATTATCAATCAGGTTCTATTATTTTTCATGTTCATATCAAAACCAGGTGCTATTATTTTTCATGTTCGGGAATTTTATGTTCTAGAAATAAATAATTTGTTATCACTTACATGCAAGTCACTATAAAGAGGGAGGGATTTTATAGTTACACCTTGAAAAATTAACAGAAAATGTAGTCATTTGAATGTAATATTTGTTTTATGCCCCGTGTGGAAGCGACCCATTGTGAAAAATGGGCACAGCTACATTTTGAGAATTTTCAAAGTTATACAACCGCAGAAATCTCCACGCAGCGCTAATACTATAATTAAATGCTATCATAGAAAATCCCCCCCCCTCTAGCGTTTGGTATTGCTATTTCCAACAACCTGTTTTAGATACATTATTTTTATGTTCTGTACCTGAAATTTCACAAACTTTTGGGTCAGTGCTTTCACGGTGCTTTAGTTTAGGCTGGCAACAGAGCATTGCCTAGAGTTCGTTATTCCGTAGTAATTGTCTAATCCGGTATTCTTGAAAACATAAAAATTTTGATTTTTAGCAAATTGCCTCTCTGTTAATTTATATTCTAATTCTGAGCAAATTTGTATTTTGAAGATAAAACAAGATGGATCGCACTTTCACAACAACAACGAAGATAAATGAAAGATCTTACGCATCGTCGACTTGCAACAACTTCTACTTATTACGGCAAGATTCATCGCAAACTGAAAACAAAAACAGCCGTTTTATTAAGTGTTAAACAGTAAAAAGTATTCGACTAAAATGACACAATCATATACAACACCGATCTACAACACAGAATCACATACAACACCGATCTACAACACAGAATCACATACGACACCGAAATACACAGAACACAAAAATAGGTACACAATTACACAACCGATTATATTATGTAACGTTAATTAAAAAAATGCAACACGTGAAATGTAAAATAATTTAAATAAATTAAATATTACTTGTACCTTTATTTAAGTAAAAACTATATTAATTATTTCGTAATCATTAAATGCTTTAATTCATTGCACATAAAACACTCCAGATAAAACTACCCATTACAAAGATTTCACACGCCAGACAAAAGTTATATACAAAAAATGTTCATGCGCCTATATATAAAATGCATAAAATAATTTGTATTATTCGAAGATGAAAAGCAATGGACAGTGAAAATACAAATATGGGCGATATATAACAATAACGCGATTTTCTAAAGGGGAATAAATATTCAACTTGTCACACCGATTCAAAAATATAAATGGCTAGGTTTTATAATTTGACCTCTACGCTTAATTTCCGTCATTAGTTATACGTCACAACAATGGACAAAGGTTAATTCAATACATTAAATCTATTTATCAAACCTAAAGAAAATTTAACCAACTCACTTTGGAAAAAGCGAATTTCTTTATGATTCGAAACGGTTAACGAACTAATACATCTTACCTTTCTACAATAAACGATAATAAATGAATTTAATATTTCCTTTGTTGTATCGTAAGATATAAAAACGTCCTTTAAATTAGAATTTACTAAGATTTCTTTGAAATCACGTTACAAAAAGAAACAAATAAAAAATTTCAAATAATTTACTTTTCCTTCCCTATTAATATTTTCGATAATTCCCAGAAGATTAAAATTTATTTTCGAAATCATACAGGCGAAAAATTAATGCCATCAAATAACACGCCTTTATTTTTAAATAATAATTTTTGAAATTCAGTCATTTTTCCTAATTATATGAAGTAGACAATAACATCAACGCGATTTAAGTGGCTTCAGATAGCAGAATAATATGCTATTAACTGCATAAACACGAAACACAAAATAAAAATATTTACATTAATTTTCAGAGTAGACATCACCTAATTATTAATTTAATGCTGAAAGGAAAAATTATTAATTTTTAAGCTTTCAGGTCTTTTCTAATTGATGCTACAAAATAATTCAAGAATTCGTTACTTTAAATTGCAGTCATTAATTTTAAATGCATAAGAAATGCGTATTTTGCGAACACGCTTGAAAGTTTTTATGCACATTGCTGTTCTCATTAACAAACACCTTGATAAAATATTCATATGTTTAAACAAGATAATTTATTACTTTGTACTTACATGAATTTGAAAAGAAAATATGAAAATAAATGTGTTGAAAGTTTCATTATTTAGAACACTGTCACTTATTTCTCTCTCTAATAAAACTTAGTCCTCGGCCAGGTTGAAATTATTCGAGAATACATCATACAAGCACGAAATGACTGCTATATATATATATATATATATATACAGACGCAATGCATTTGCTGAGTAGGCATTCACCGGTAGTTATGATCAAACCTATTATTTAGCCGTTTCATCACCAAGAACGTTGCCCAGAGTTCTACATAAACGACGATTGATACTTCACTCGTATAGAAAGGAAAGACAACTTAGTATGATGCAATAAAACAAGCTTTATGCAGGCGTGGAGCATGCATCCTCGCTTTTGAATTAGCTGTCAACCTTCACTAGCTACCATACACGGGACTTTAGTAATTAAAATTTATTCTTCAGTTTCACTTAAGAAACGCGAAGTAGTCCGTAAAACACATTAGCAACGTCAAGCGAATCTACCTTTCTTTTTATTTATTTGGAAGATCATGATAAAACTAATTGGTTCAACAGATTATTCCTTGTTAAATAAACGCATGGATTACACAGACAATTCCAGTCTCAAGCGCACTGCATACAAAAATTAAATAGGAAAAAAAAATACTGATAAATAAATACAGTGAAATCTCTCTTTGTGATTACCTCTAAAAGTGACCAGTATTTCTAAAGATATACAGTATAACCGCTATTAGTGAAGATCACATCTTTAAGACGACCAACTCCACAGATGACCAAATTAATCTGGAATCGTGGAGGATTAATATTTTAAAAGCACGGGTTAAAGCTTGTCACGATGCTCTATATTAGGGGCAAAGAATATCTAAGGGGCAAAGAATCTCTCCTTAGAGATTCTTTGCCAGGGGTGGCCAAAGTATGGCTCGCGAGCCTGATACGGCTCTTACAGGCAATTTGTGCGGCTGATGTATTTAAAATATATGTATGAAATATGATAAACGAAAACTATTCAGTATTCAAAAGGAAGAAATTAATTAGTTTAGACTCTTTTTACAAAGTTATCAAGGATATCTTTCTATTTAAAACCTCCTTCACTACTTCTATAATGATGTAAATATGAACTTGTGGCTTTTAGAAAATCTGGATGCGGCCCTCGAACATTCCTAAATTCAAACGTGCGGCTCTTACTGACATGAAGTTCGGCCAAGCCTGCTCTATACAGTGACCACACCGGTGATCGAATGTTTAAATGGCAAATTACAGGTACCTCCTGGTTCAACTCCAGGTGAGAAAATGGGCTGCCAACTTCAAGATTCGTGTCCCCCCCCCAATGTGCAACATAAATACGAAATTTTCCTTTTACATTTTCATAAGCATATAGCAGTCACGGTCTCTGTCTATCACAACTAATTAAAATTATATTCACGGCAGTCAATTTAAGGCATGAATCACACAGCAAACACTTTTCCTTTTTTTTTTTTTTTTTTTTTAAATTAAACTCCACAAGAAAAATGTTCACGCAAACTACTACATACTTACGCATTAGAGTAAAGAAAACTAAAATGTTACTTGCTTATGGTATAGTTAGAAAATAAAATAAAAATAAGCCATAATTTAGGTTTTGTCACATGTAAGGATAGATGAAAATCTGGAAATTCGCTTTCATTAATGTAAATGAAACCATTAATCGCTAAAAGAAGATCCAACGCTTGTTTTAACATGTATCACGAACAAAAGTCGAGAACAAGACAGAATTCTACGGGAATTTCAAGCAAAATGCTTGTTTTTCACGGGTTTATAAGTACTGCGCTAACAACGAAAACACCATCATGCTTCGTCAAGATTCTGAAGAACAAATGACTTTTAAAAAAGTCACCAGATGGCGCAGAAGTTAAACAGATGGCTGATTACACTGCTACAGTTGGTGGATAAACTCGGGCGCTCGGCAGATTGTGCAACAAGCACACACTGGCAAAAATATTTTTTTTTTCTTTTTCTTTCTTAAGAAAAAAAAGAGAGAGAAACTAACGGGATAATTGTAAGCAGAAGAAAAGTTTCATCTAAATTTGTTCCTAAACGAAAACTCCTCCCCTTTATTTCCCTTAAATTTGCAACCTTTCGAATATTGCAGAACTGTTAACTGGTATCGGATATGTAATTCTGAAAGTAACAAACCATCTAGCTAGCTAGCTATTAAAACTGTTGCTTAAGCAGCAGACTAAATATCAGTACAAAAGCATCTTAATTGCGCACCGTATATGACACAAGCCGGAAAGCATTACACAGAACAAAACAGTAATTAATTATCAGCAAAATTCTTTCCTTTAAATCTAAGTGCCCCACAAAATTGTTTCTATATTAATTTAAACACTTCACAAAATTTATGAGATAACGCGTACGAAGGTTTAAGACAAAAGAGCGAAGTTCTCTTCGTCTTTTTGCACTAAGTACAACATCCGATACGCATTTATTTTCTACGAAGGTTATTCGATATACCATTGTACTTAAGTTCCACCAGCCTTCGTGAAGGATTTCTTACGGATAAATGACTTACATTCATGCAAAGAAATTTGTTAAGCCGCAAGAAATCTGACTCGCGTCAGCTTGTCGACATTCTGATCTTATCCTCTCGTCAGAATGCATTGCTCTAGCTTATGTTTTAGAGTAAGAACTGGCATTCGTATAGGGCTATAAATTTCAACTCAGAGAAAATGAAAACATTTCATAACCTTTGTATTTGCTTTCAATCTGTAAATTATTTTAAAATTATAACTGCACACACAACTCAAAATAAGCTAGTACAAAATGTAATTAAACTATGCTCTTTCACCTTCCCCTCTAGAAATTTCAGCAAGTTCGTTAGAATGTATAGGAAAACACAAAGGAGGGGGGGGGGTCACAGCCATGATTTCACAAAGCAACATATGCAGTAACGTTTTCTGAATGACAGACTTTTTTTTTGTTTAAATTCAGAACAAGCAAAAATCCATCTGCTTCTAGTTTCTGCTTATAATGATGATATAAAGATGTATATAAATTTTTGTAAATCATTACTGTTATTCGGTTCGTTCTCTTAACCACTTCTATTAAAAACCAACGGATGTTGAAGAACATAAAGCGATAATGCATGCAGGGAAAATTAGATAAAATGCTTAAAATAAGTAACAATAGCAAATTCCGACAGCCCGGCATCTGATGGTTCGGCACACCCAATAATCCAACATCCCTTTCACCGAACTTTCAGTCGTAAGACGATGCTACTAGTATTTCATTCATCTTCGGTATGTCTTGGCAGTTGCTTCGTGTCTTTCTGCCACTTCCAGAGAGGTCTTTGTTTAAAGCAAGGGAATAAAACGGAAACACGAGACATAAAAAATTCACCAAAAGCGGGATACTATTAATCGACTAGGAGAAAGGACAGAATAGAAGCATTCTAAGGAAGAATACGGTATTAGATCTTGTGTTATGCATGGTATCAAAAAACAAAGGGGAAGCCTACAAAATTTTCTGAATACACTAGTTCTTAAAATAGATAATCGACCCCCCCCCCCCCCAAAAAAAAAAAAAACCTTCTCGACCGGCACGATAAGTTAAAC